AAAACGTCAAACAAAAAATGCATTTATATTATATTATTATTTAAATTTAAAACACATTTTCGCTTGTTTTCAATATAATTTCGAATTCGCTTTGTTCTGTCGATTTCATATGAACTTTTTTTGCTTTTGAGTTTTTGTCTCGCTATTTTTTTTTTTTTTTGCTGTGAAGATCTTTACTGACAACCGAATCCCCGACAACGACAGCAACAATAACACTCACACACCAACATTCGTCTGTACGTTTGTATTTATGTGCATATATACATATATAAATTCATTTTATTTATAGCCATGTCTCATGCTGTGAATTTACTTGTTATGATGATTTATACATTTTTAAAAACCCAACCAACGCCATGCATACGAAGTGTTGAACGAACAGGCGCAGCACCAAAAAAAAAATTAAATATAAAAGTGTTTTATCGGAACGGCAGATACAGCCGTGCGTATACACATATAGGCTATCACACAGCTGACAAAATATGTTTGTAACGCAGACGAATTGCAAAAAAAAAAAAAAAAATCGCGTTACCAACTGTTATGATTTTTGTTAGCATACTGCATGCAACAAAATGTGTAGAAAGCAACATGTTACTTGTAAGCCAGCAATATTTGGCTTACTTTTCGCTAAGAATTTTTTTTTAATTTCTCGCTTAGCACCCACACAACGCCACTTGCCAGTGCTCACACTTAGCAATGCGTGTTGCAATTAGTTGTAAATGTGATAATATTCCAAATACACCCGTGTCAGCCATTTTAAATTTTAAACACATGAATCGCGGTGAGTCAAACTCATTTTAGCATTGCACTTACACATGCACAGTGGGTCGGGTCACTGAAAATTTCGAGTGTTTGTTACGATTTTAATTGCTTTGTCGATTTTCTTTTGGCGCAGTTATTACGGTGCACTCTCTTTCCACTGGTTACTGGATTTTTATGTTTTTCCGCTTTGGTTAACGCTCATTCATTTGGTAGTTGTTGTTGTGGCGACCACAAAACACTGCAATTAATTCAAAGTGGAAATCAAGCAAGCGTTCGTTTGACTATGTACCTATATATGAATGTGCTTGCCTTGCTTTTATTATTTAGGTTTGCTTTGGTTTTTTTTTTTAATTTTTTTCCACCATTCAACGCCTGACATTTGCCAACACTAACGCTTTCACGTTACGGCATTATGTGTGAGCAATCAAATATGGCGACAGCAACAAAAAGCACCAGTCACAAAAGCGCTCTGGCGTGGCATCTTGGTGTGGCGTGTATTTCTTATAGATTTTTTTCTTGCTGTTTTGTTTTTTTTTTGTTTGTTTGCTAGTTATATTGTTGGTCCAAAAATATCTGTGCCTTATTGATTTTTGTGCGCGTTTTGTTGTTGCCTGTGGCAGTTGCAGTAATTTGTGTTTACTTGTTGTTGTTATTTTTTGCTGTCTTAGCTTTCTTATGCGCACAAAAGTAGTTCTGCTGGCGCATAAACCTGCTCGACAAGTTTACTTGCTTGAACAACAAGAAGAATTTGCGCATTTAGCGCTTGTTGTTGTTGGACAAATAGCGGTTTGCACGCTGTATAGGTACAAATGTTGCGCAATGTGTTTCTGGTTTTTTTTTTGTTATAAAATATATTTTTTTATAAACTTTTTAAAACGTGCATCTTTTAATGTTTTTATTATAATTAATTTTTTACTATGTAAAATTAAAATTATTGTGATTATTTTTAGGGTTTTACATTTTGTAATATACACTTTTAATTATGCAATTTTTTTACAATTATTTCGTATTATTTTAAATAAATATATTATATAAATTAATTGGTATTATGGAAAATATTTTTGTTAATTTTTTTATAATTTTTTTATAATTTTTTAATAATTTATACTAAACATTAGTTCTTTTTATATTATTGTTTAAAAGTTATTATTTTTATTTACTATCATTAATTTTTTTTTTATTTAAGTGTTATAAATATTATTTTAATATATTATCATAATTTTTTTGTAAATATTTTTAAAAATATACATGAATTAATACTTTTAAAAAATATTATTTTACTTTTTTTAATATAATCTGTTTAATTTTTTTTTTTATAAATTTCATAACAACAATTTTAATCTGCGTTAATAAATGCGTATCAAAATATATTTCAAAGATATATTTAAAATTACATTTGCACACACATAAATGCACATTTAGTTCCCTTAACAAAATTCACTCTTCACGCCTTTTTGCATGGCCTAATGCGCATCACCAGCGCAGCGCGCACAATGTCCTTTCACAGCTGTCACTTGGACACTTTGGGCACACATACACATGCACATACTTCCAATTTGCCACAAGGTCAAGCCGTAGAGACTTAACTTAAGCCACACCACAGGAAATTTTTTGGTCTCATAGGCCGCAAGAGCTGTTGCATGCTGCCCACCTACGAGGAAACACATACATACAAACAAACATAATATAAAATAATGTGGACATATAGAATTTTAACTGTCATACTAATGCATTTTGACAGACAACTGTCAATGTCATCACTTGTAAAGCAGAAACGAAAGAAATATAAAAGTGCAACGAAATTCCACAAAACAAAAATGAAAAAAAAGTAAAATAAAATAAAAATAATTGTTTCAATGGAAAAATACGACATGATGTGTGTGTGTGTGTGTGTGTGGAGTGTTTGTTGTGAGTGTGTGTCGTTTTGTGCATTGTTGAGATTTTAAGCAGATTATATGTAGGCTAAGCGCATACATTGACAATAACAATAACAGAAACAACCGCAGCGAAGCGGGCAAAGACCACGACTACGATGAGAATTTACAAAACGCAGCGGGAAGCAAAGTGAAAATAAAAATTGAGAAAAATTTCAAAATGCTTACTTTATATGGCTGGTATGTACATACGTAGGAACATACATACATAAATATGTATAGTGTGTGTATGGAAATGTATGCAGCCAGTTTACCTGCTGTCTCACAACAATGTTACCAGTTTACTTTGTAAGCAGATGCAAGCTATAAACTACCTGTATGGGAGAGAAGTAACCGAAAATATACAAATCCATGTATACATATATGATACGTGTGTAAGTATGTTTGCCAGTGCATGTATAATGTATTGGAGTGGCTTTGTTTTGGATGAAAATCAAAATGTGGTGCGCAAAAATGTGGATTCGTCATGCCGCAAGTATGACTAATGGACTTACTGATGGAATAAATATACAAGCATATACATATCTATATGTACAAATAATCAAAAATACATATATAAACATTGGAATGTGTCTACATATATACAAGATATGTATGATGTATGTGCATTAGCTAGGTGCATGCATGACATTTGGGAGAGCGAGCCCCACGGTTCAAATGGCAAAAAAGCAAAAAAAAAAAAAAAAATATAAAAAGAAATGCCAAAATACGACTAAAAAGCATGAAGCGAAGCTAGAAAAAAATAATATAAAAGATAAAAATAAATAACAAAAAAAAAAAATATTAATAATAGTAGAACAAAACTGGAACCGTTGTGCAGATAATACTTTAGGCGCGGGAAAAAGAACATTTGTGAGCAGTTGGAGATGCAAACATACATACATAATACATATAGCACATATACAAATCTGTACAAAAATTGGGTTGTAATTGGTAACACTTGCTATTGCTGTAGCTGCTGATGATATACATACATATATGAAATGCTACGTATGCCGGCTAAAAAGCCACACTGACGCTATACATGATTTAATCTACACACATATGTATACATATACACATATATATATATATATATATATCTGCTGGTTTGTGCACACTTCTGCAGCGCTCGAGTTTATTGCATTTACCTTATTTTTTGTTTCGCTAACAATAATTTTTATTACCAACAATATTGTGGTGTAAGCGCGCTTACAACTTGACATATGAACGAAATGACACACATGCGGTTACATACTTGTACAAAGCCGGTACATGAGTAAGATAGATACAAATCATCAAAGCAATAAATTGATAGCCTAACACCTATGTAGAGTTCATAGCAGAGGAAATAAAACTAAAACAAAATCGCAAAATATGTGCATTACTTTATTTTGATTCAAATTTGTGTGCTAATTCATTCGAAAAATTATAATTTTAAACTTCTTTTGCTGAATATGCATTATCGACTAACTTTGCTTAAAAATTAAGCTGTGTGATATATTTTTTTGTTTGCAAGTAATTGTAATGTAAAAAAATATCCGCTGAATTTTCTGAGTAACTGCTGAATGAAGCTGAATTTTTCCAACACAGCAGCATTTTTTTATTCAAATTTTTGTTTGTCTCGTAGTTCGGCTACTGAATAAATGAACTTAATTGAGAAATAACTAAGTTAAAGTGCGCTGAATAGCTGTTAAGAGCATGTCTGAAATATTAAGTCGTAAATAAAAACTATTTGGCAAACCAAACTAATTTCTAAATATAGCTGAATTTGTTATTTTCACAAAATTTGTAATTTACTTAGCGCTGAATTGATTTAAATCATTTTTTATTTGTTATATTTCTTTTATTTTTGCGTTAAGTTAGCAAAATTCCAGCTGGTGTGTGATAAGCCATGCAGAAGTCTATAAAACAACTTGATTTTCGAGTTAGCTGGATTGCGCTGAATAGCTAGTTTTTGTGTGCTTACAGCGAAATAAAAGATTTATTTTAACTCTATGCATTTTCTAAATAAAGAATTAATAAATGCATTTTTAATTGCAATTAAAAGTACATTTTTGTGCACAAAAGCACAAAGAATTAGCTGAATTGTGCTGAATAGGTGGTGTATTGAGAAACATTAAATTATATACTTCAAATATTTATAATTAAATACATAAATGATGGGTTATTTAAAGGAAATAAATTATTACTTCAAATAAGTAATTTAAATAATAATAATTTAATTTAAGTTTAAACTAAATTTAACATTTTAATTAAAAATAATTATTTTAAATATATTAAAATTTTTGTTATTAATTTTTTTCATTTGTTTTCTCATTACAGATACGATCACAAAAACCCTACTACACAGCGGATCCCGAAGTCGACTCACTGGTAAGTGTTACACCGCAACACAAATGCACCGCTAGTTAGTACTAAAATTGTGTTTCAGCATTTTCCGAAGCAAACACCAAGATAATTAGGTTAATAAAATATGCTTGCAACATGTGCAACAGTCCAACTACGAGTATTTTTGAATGCAATGCAGCGGACCATTCGTATAATACCAAGTTCACCTTGACCTCAAAATAAAATGGAAAATTATAAAAGAATAATACATATGTATATAAAAATAAATAAAAACAACAACATAACTAGGTATAAACTATATGCAAGGAAAATAATTCACAGCAATGCCACAAACATTTATTACATATGCATGTACATAAATTTTCCAATTCAATTCAATTAGATGAACGTCCGTCGTGTCCGTCTGTTGCTGCTGCGGCTCGTTAACATTTTTATTTGCGCTGTTTTTAAATAAATTTGTCACAATTTACCGCGCCACAAGCTACTGGCTAACGCATGCGCACTTGTTGTCGCCCGCCAACAAGGCAAGTTCAATGTCGCTTACTACAAGTTTACCAATTTACTACTCTATGAATTCTGCGTCTCTTGTGCCGCCTCCTTGGTGGTGCTACTATTTGTATTACACGCGCTTGATAAGTAAAAATTTACACTTCTGAGTGAAGTGTAAAAATATACAAAAAAAAGAAATATAAATAAAAAAATTGGAGAAACAAAAAATGCATATATATATACATAAATAAAAACAATTGCAAGCCAAATTGAGCACAATGTGACACAAAATTATCATTCTTAATCTCAAGTGGCTGCGATCCGGCATGTCAAAGCTGTGATATGCCTAAGCAACCGCATTTCAACATACACAAATATATATATATATATATATACATATATGTATATGCAACTAAGTGACGTATGATCAACGCCAAGACTTAATATCATTTCTACATATGCACATTTATATGTTTGTTCATTTATTTTTTGAATGCTTGTTGTTGTAGTAAAATCAGATTATTGTTGCTGACCACAAACAATGTAACAAGCACACACATGCATACGTATGTATGTACGAGTATGTGGGTACAAACAATAAATGCACGACTATGCCGGCTGGAGGCTGGCCCACATGCAGGCGCTGACATTAAAAAAAAAGAAACGTAATAAAATAAAATAAAATAAAAAATAAAAATAAGAAAAAAAATATAAAAAGTCAAACTATAAACTTTTTCGAAACTCAAAGCAAGTAAGAAGCATAAAAAAGATGTACACAACAACCGTCATTCCTTCAATAACTGAGTTGTTAACTTATTTTATTGCCGAACGCTTGACTGCTGAGCGCGCAGTTAGTGTTGCTGCTGCTGCTGCCACCGCTATTGATGCTGGTTTGCTGGTTGATTGTGCGGTAAACTTGTTGCACGGTTTATGTCAGACTTGCTGAAGGCTGTCAATGTTGCAACAACAAAATCAACAACCTCAGGAACAAGAACAACACAAACGATCAATAATAAAAATAACAATAATCACCACAACTACAACATTAAACCTTTCTGTAGCTTAAATGCATATTGAGATTTTTTAAGCATTTTATTTCATTAATGCACGTAAATAACAATATGCCACAGTAAAAGCCAACAGCAACAGCAGCAACAGCATGCGCCCGACAATTCATACCTCAGTATCGGCGCGACAGCGACAAGCTCGTCACGCCGAATACTGTACTAAAAGAGTATAGTAAAATTTTAATCGTAAAAATTCACGACTCCCCACATGTTTGCAACCGTAGTATGTCATTGTTGCTGGTGCTCCATCTGGCATCTTTTAATGCAACCCATGAGTTGCTTAAAAGTGGTATGCCACAGTTTAAAGCTGGGTGAAACAATATACATAAGTATGAATACATATGTATAAACACATACTATATATATATATATATATATATATATATATGTTGTAAGCACACTAATGCTGCACTTTGGGTGTCTACGAATATGACGCGTAGCATTTAAATGAGCCGTACAACTTATTCGCGCAAGAGTGAAGCATCGGAAAAAAAGTGCGGCTACATGCTATAAAGCATTCAGCGGTATCGAAATAAGTCATTTTTGTAAAATTTTACATATGCAAATAAATTTTAAGTACACTAAAGGTTGATGCAGTAATAATATAATCTGCTAAATTGTGCTGAATTATGTATAAAGCAGCTGAATACCTAATTTCTATTAATTATTATTATTTTTAAACCAGTGCTATGATATGCTGAATTTGTTTAGTTCAATATATCGGATTAAATCCACTTTTTTTATCGATAATAAAACTTATATTTAACAGAGCCTTTTCTTTAAATGCTGCATATACAAACACCAATGGAGAGCGCGAGAAGCTAACGGGAAAAAATTACAAGCTGCTGAATTCCGCTGAATTATATTTAAAGCAGCTGAATACAATGTTATGAGTTGAATTTATGCAAGTTAATATCACGCTTTACAAATATTTATTGCTTCAAATTAAAACCACTAGTTTAAGCTGCTTATGAAGGCTCATTTAACAAAAAGCTATGCAAGAAAACTTTTTTTCTCAAATTTTAAGTAAATAAATAGGTTTGCTTGTTTGTTGCCAACAAAGTACTTTTAAATTGCGCTGAATAACAATTATAGCTGCTGAATAGCATATAACACCTTTTGCATGATCAATTCCAAGCTCCTGATTTTACATTTATTAATTATTATAAACAAGTTAAAACGAGTAATCTAGCTATATAAACACAATTTAAACGCTTCTGGGGAAACCCTTTGGCAAGGAAAATCAAATGGCTAACATACATACAAACATACGTTTGTAAAATATGTATGTAGGCAAGCATTAATGCTAATCTCGTTGTCACGAAGCAATTACATTCCTATCGGCGTAATAATCCGTTGGCAGTGAAAGCAAATTATGCATACCAATAATGGCATTTCATTGCATAAACTGACGTTTTAATCACACTTAAAGTGCATTTATAAAGTGTTGGTATCATCATTAGGCAAGTGCTTACAACAAGCAATACGTGTTGCATATGAAATTCCTTTTTTTTGCTTGCATTGATGTAACAGACAGTGCAGGACAGTGAAATTGCTTACCGGCTCGTGTAAATGGGTATTAGATATTTTGTTAGTGGATCGAAATGTGTTTATGTTATTAACGATAGCATTATTTTAATTCAAATATATTCAGCACACATATTCATGGCTAAACTACAATATATATGCGTTGTTTGGCTCTTATAAAAGTTTGCCTATAAATCATTACATAATTGCGCTGAATTGATTATCAAAGCGTTCGCTTTTTTAATTCTTCAATTATAATTAAAAAAAAATTTTGCACTTTGGTGTATTTAATTATTTTGCTTAATTTGTATATTAAAGCTTAGGTACTCCCAACTATAATGAAGATAGTTGAATGTGTTAAGCATTTTGACTAAAGCTAAATTTTTATTTCTTTTCATTTAGAAGAGAGATTGAGAACATAATTAATAAATGTTTGAAATAATTTTTATTTTAGCGAGCTGAATTACGCTAAATCCCATTGAATACACAAAACTCACAGAAAATGTTAACCTTTTTGCCTGCACTCATATCAACTTATTATTATTTAAGGCGTTGCAAAAGTTGTTTGAAGTTATTATTATTTTTTTTTGAGCTGAATTGCGCTAAATGCTCGGAATTCAGCGAAAATGGGCAAAAAATTATTGGAAATATGATTTATCATTAATAATATAGCAAGCTTAGTTGAGCTGAATACCGCTGAATTCATAACCTTTGTGTGTACTTTCAGTTCAATTGTACCTTCTGAGCAAATTTTGTGATTACCTTACACATTTCAATCCTTATATTATGCCCTTTATTGCAAAATATCACTTCTATATGTGTTTCCGATATACATACATATGACCTACGAGCAAATGCTTACATCGTCAACATTTTTCCATTATTACATTGCTATAGATGATTCACATATACGAGTGTATATTTGAACTTCCATATGTACACCATTGAGAACGGGGTCCACGGAGATGAGGATGACAAAATGCGATGACGATGACGATGTTGACGATAACAGTGGCGCGTCATTTTATGGCGTTGTAGTGTTTTGTTCCAACTGTCAGTTTGACAGTGCGCCTGCGTACTTGTGTCATAAATCATTTCGCCTCGCTTCCATAGCTAAAGTTGTCATGCGCGCTTCTACGGATTGTGCTTTGCTTTGCTTTCATTGCAACGCTAAACTGCTGAAGCGAACATACATACATACATACATATAAAAATCATGTAGTGCAACGCTATTTATGCACATTTGTATATGTGGCTGCAGTTCGCCCGTACGCCCAGTTTAGATTGTCTTCTGGTGCCCACTAGAGCCTCTCAGCGTGTGTTTCTGTATGTGTGTGTGTGTGTGTGTTAGTGTATGTCTGTTTGAGCGTGTGCAAAATGTTGAATAAACATTTAAATGTGCATTTAGTAACACATACTTAACGTTTGTATTTTTAAGTACTTACCAGAGGCAGCTACTACTACTACAGACCGTTGCAGCGCAGCGGCATGCATCAGCTAACACAAACGCCAAAGCTATAAAATTCATTTTATTTTCATTGGATATTTGCTCCATTGCCATTTATTACATTTGCCTTGTTGTTGTTGTTTTTAATTGCTATTGTTGTTGTTGGTTTTGATGTACTTGTTGCTAGCTCTTTTGGACATACGTACATACAGTTGTAGGTAGATAGTCGTCAGTCGTCATTCAGTTAACGCTTGCAGGCGGTGGCCGGCCTGCCGATCTATAGTGCCAATGTACCGTGATTATGTTGTTATGGTTTGTATGGCGAGAAAATTGCAATATGTTGCAGTTGAACTTGTCAATATATGCCATGTAGACAACTTGTATGTTGTTTATTGAGTTTTTTTATAGTTTTTTTATTTTTATTTACTTTTTTTTTTGGTACTCTCTATTTGTTTGTTGTTACTCATATTGCACTTTACCCGTACGACCGCCCGTTCGTACGGTTCGTCTGCTTTATGGTAAGGAGTAGACTTTTTATAAGCCAGTTTTTACTTTCGTGCTCTTATTTTTGTATTCTCTTCCTTAATTTTTTGTATGCTTACTGCCAACCAAGCGTCGTAAAAATGTCAAATGTCAAGTTGACAGTTTAATTAGGTGAGGCTGTAACGAGGTATCCAACCAAGCGCAGGATTTATTTTTTCTGTTCTGCTACACCTCCCTATATATATCAATACGTATATGTACATACCTTATTAACACACTTTTTCTTGCACCGCCTGCTGCGATTAAGGTTGAGGAAAGTTTGCAAGCTCTGTTTTTTGCTCGCATTGCATATACGTATGTTGTACATGTAAGTAAGTGCAAGTATATTGCTCATCACCATTAGCCTGAAATTCCATATCGTTTTTAAGGCGATTAAAAGTGACTAAAAGCTGTGCGCTCATTGTGAGGACCAGTATACGAGTATGAGCGAAAAAAAAGTAATAAGAACTAAAGAGAATTATTATGAATAACAAATAAAATAAGCTTAAATAAAATTTCGTAAATGAAAAAATAATAAATAAAAATAAAATGAAATAAAATAAAATACATAATCGTAAAATTAAAATTTAAACAAAATAAGATAAATAAAACTAAAATTAAAATTAAGCACAATTAAAAGAGAAAAAATAAACAAAATAAATAAAATAAAATAAATAAAATAAATAAAATAAATAAAATAAATAAAATAAATAAAATAAATAAAATAAATAAAATAAAATAAAATAAAGCAAAATGAAATAATATAAATCACATTATACAAAAAAAAAATTAAAATAAAACTGAATGCAAAGAAATAATAAAAAAATAAATAATTAAATAAAATAAATAAATAACTAAATAAATAATCGTCGACATTATATGTTTCGACTATGGCAAGACAATTTTTAAATATCTACAAAAGAGATCAAATAAATGTTTTTTTATATAACATATATAAATATATATACAATCTATCTATAATATAAAATTATATTTATAAGGTCCTTAATTATTAAAAAAAATAATTGTATTTTTTCATCTTTCTTTCCAGATGGTGCAAGCAATACAAGTACTTCGGTTTCACCTTTTAGAGTTAGAAAAAGTAAGTACTAATGCGATTAAATTAGACTAAAAAATTATTTAAATATTTCCAACAAAAGTATATGAAAGAAGAATGCATTAGGAATCAAAACACTGTTGTTAAAAAAATAATGATTGAATGAAATAATGAAAATATTAATTCGATAGGAATATATATTTTTTTGAAGTATCGCAAAATCAACACAAGAAATTATAAAAAAAAAATATATTTATAACCGCACATTTCTGTATTATGCAAGTTATTTTGCGCTAAAAAGCCCAAATCTACGCTGAATAGCTATTAAAAAAAGCTGAATTGATGTAAATTAAATATAAGAGTGCTGTCGGTTTTCCTCATTTGCGCTGAATAAGTCTGCTATATGCTGAATAACTCTTAAAATGCGTGGAAATATCTTCTAATTAAATTGGATTATTCTAGTTACCTAAATAAATATATATCTGTGCAAAGTACTTCAATAACAGACTTAAGCTGCATTGATTATAGCTAAGTATTTTCTGAATTGTGCTGAATTGCGCTGAATCGGGCTGAATTTTCAAGCCTACTCGGCAGAGTTTGCTATAAATTCGCCATCTTTTAATTTTCGTATTATACAACACATTTGAAGTCATGATAAATTGCTGTAAATTGAGTTACAAGGCGCTGAATGACAATTTTATGGATTTTATGGCGTTCAATTCAGCTAAATATGTTGAAATCACCTGTACAACCATTGGTGGCAATACATGCAGACAAACAATTAAGGCATAACAACTTATTTTACAAAGCAAATTTAATTCAATTGTATAAAGAATGTAATGCTTGTTGTGAGCAGCTTGCCACAAAGCAAATCAACCAGTAAGAGACAAAGAAAACAAGAAGTTACAAAGCCACCAACGACAATTCATTGAATATACATTGGCATTGCGAATTTCTTAAGCAAAACTACATACATAAGTATATATGTACGAGACTGTATGCACGAGTGTTTGCAACTAACTGTATGTACACAATAATGAAAACAAGTTATATTACCGCATTGACTGACATGCAATTTATGCGCCTTTTATTATTAAACTTGGCTGGTAGTTGAAAGCTAAAATGTCTAAATTAAGTCAATACTGATCAGGGTGCATTGAAATGAAACATCAATTGACAATAACCAGTTGCATAAGCGCCTCACTGCCGAACTGACTGTCTGAGTAACAAACTGACTGTTTGGTAGTTGGTTGAGTCGAATGAGTGTACTCGCTGGCCAGCTGGCTTGCTGGTGGATTGAAAGAATGAGTAATTGGTTAGTTGGCTAGAAATTGCCGCTGACATGGTATGGTAATTGTTGTCAACAATAAAATTCGTCAGCTGCAACAACAATTGCTGAAATTTATTTTCGATGGCAAGCATATGTTCTATTGTGGCATGATAGAGCTGCCGATTTTTGTTTGCGAAAATACCAAGTCTTTTACTTCTTTGCTTTTGGCAATTCAAATTAATGCTTTATTTATGTTTTCTTACCCTCTTGTTGCATTCTTTGATTTTTCTTTTAATTTATTATTGACCAATCAGTGGAAACATGAAAAATACATACCCTGTTGCAGTTTGATTCTGAATTGACTAAGAAATCAGCTAAGTAATTATTTGCATAAGAAAAAAAAAGTAAAATAAAATACAGTAAAAAAAATAAAACAAAAAAAAATAAAACGAAAAAAAAAAAATAAAATAAAATAAAATAAAATAAAATAAAATAAAATAAAATAAAATAAAATAAAATAAAATAAAATAAAATAAAATAAAATAAAATAAAGAAATAAAATTATATTAAATTAAATAAAATATGATAAAATCAAATTGAATTGACAAAATTAAATTGAACTAAATATAAATACACTGAACTAAAAGAAAATAAAAAAAGAAATTTTTTTTTTCTTAAATCTAAAAATCTCCATTAGGCGGCGACGCACTTGATACCTTAAAACAATGCAATTAAATATGCGCACTTTTACGTAGTTAGTAACTTGTTTAAGTTCTTACACTTAAAATAATATTTAATACAACTTTGAAATATTGCTTTTCACGCTCTAAGGAACAAAGCCTTGGTACGATCTCTTCGGAGTCGTTCTTTTGTAATTCCTGTCTATGAATATAGTAACTTTTCAAACTAAAATCATGAGGTGCGATTTTGCATTTGACACACACTAACCACTTCTTTGTTAATTATCATATTTATTATGTTTTAATTTCACATAAAAGTCATTAATTTTTTTCTCCCGAAAATTAAAGAAATATTTTATTAATTTAAATTTGAATATTTAAGTGCATATCTCGTTTGTACACAAATATCATTGATAATTTAGCGCAGATAAGAAAAAAGAGTGCTTCGCTATATTTTTCAACAACACGTTGCTGCCACTAACGGTCACATTCTCATGGAGTATTCGTAAACTCTTTTTTTGACCGAAAGATAATATCAAATAAAAAAAATTCTTCGACATCCGTACTTAGCTGCTGAAAAAATAAAATGAATACATTATCAAAATATTAACATTGAAATTTATGTGGTTTTTATTTATGTTTGCATGTTGGTGTGCATTAGATTCATGCGCTGACGGTTAGTAAATTCACAGCAACACCCACTTCATTATAGAAATGCACATGTGTAAATACATATACGGGTACACTTATGTATATTTTAATTATTATTTTTTTCTATTTTTGATGGTTATTTGACTACTATTTTACCTATCGTTGCCACTAAAGAGCTAATTGTTAGTTAGCCTAATTTACTACAAACATTTTGATGGGGGTGTTTTAATTTTTTTTCGTTTATTATTTTTTGACCATTTTTTTTTACTGACGCTCAAGAGCAAAGTTAGAAAAAAGTTTGAAACAGCTTAAAATGTTAAAATTAATGCATGTTGCTCAAAAATTAATTAAGCAAATGCTTAGCCGAGCATAACTCTGACAAAACTCCAGCGATCGCAGAGTGAGTAAGTGGTGGTAGTCACTTTACATACATATTGACATATCTATGTACATATGTATATATGTATGAAAAAATAATATGATTACGTCAATAAAAATGTGCGCTATAAAATTCGCTACAGTGGCCACTGCATACTCATATTTACATACTTACTACTGCTACTTGATTGCCAAACAAAAAAAAAAAAAAAAAACCGTCAACAATAAAACCAACAACTATTTTTTCACTTTATATCTCTCTGTCTGTCCGCTCAACAGCTCAACTCAATTCAACGCACTCACTCAGCGCTTTGTGATTTTCATTAAGAATTAAGTAAGAAATTATGCAAATGCGCTTTATTAGTTAGTTTGAAAGCAAACACATGCATACACATGCGTACATGCAAACATATACAGTAAAATTAAAATAAATTCCAACCAAAAATGTATTATTCCGCTTGCGGCCTGAGCTGAAACGGCGACCCATGTCTGTCAAGGTAAAAACTGTATAAACCATACATCTATATGGCATATGTGTATGTGTAAGCATTTTAAGCCTTCGCATCACTTGGCTTACGGCCATGCAACATGTTGCTTATCAATATTTTTATATTGCTGCTTCACATGATCAAACGCTGCTGCAGCATTCAAAATGTTTTTCATTTTATAATTTTCGTTTCGTTTTAATTATTTATTTTTATATTTTTTACTTATTTCTTCTCTCTGAGTTTTATCGTTCTCAAGCTGAACTTGATCCCTCGACTTAGCGACCGAAAGAGGAAAAAAGAAACGAAATTGTTTAAAATCAATGATCGCATACAAATGATTCGCCGTCGCTTGAACTGACGCTGTGTCATTGTAGCATTTTTTCTACTTGAAAATTTTTTTCCGCTTCTCAACACGTGCATATGTACATAAGTTTATACATACGTGTATATACATACATAAATCGGAGATTGTCTGTTGCGGTTGGTATTATTGTTGTCTGCTGTTTGATTGTTGCATACATATGCGCTTGTTTTGGTTTCAATTTCAGTTCGAATTTCCAGTTTTTGAAGTTTTTGGTATTTAAACTTTTGTTATTGTTTTTCATTTAGCCTTTTATTTTGTTAACATACAAAAATATATAAATTTTTTATCAAACCGAATTTTTTTTCCTGTTGGCGACATTTTTTGTCGGTCACATTTTTTCAGCGACAACCGTTTCGGGATTTCTTCTTTTTTCAGCATTGTTTTTAGCTGTTTGGCCGCTTGCCTGTGCTGGCTGGCTTACTGACTCGAATAGCGGACACTGCTTAAGTGCATTGATGCTAAACTGGTTTTTTTGGTCGAATATTGTATTTGTATTTTTATTTATAATACATTATATTATTGGATTCACAAAAATACTCGAAATATATAGTACATCATACAGAAGAGCGTAAATCAGTTTTAGAGAATTTTTAATAAATATATGTTTTTACATATTGTATTAATATATTTGAGTAAATATTTGCGCGTGCTAGGTTTAAAGCTGATACGTTTTCAGTCTTAGTAAATTCTTGTTCAGCAATAAAAATTCGTTTCAATTCAACTCAAAGTCGTCAATTTATTCAAACATTCGTCAATTCAGCTCAGCTGAATATAAATAATTCGCATATTAAATATTCTCCTTATCTATTTTAAGACATACGAGTGCGCTGAAAACAAGTTTCCGTCACGTATCAACACAAATATTCATTAGAACATTACGTCTTTTTTTTTAGAAACAAACGGTGTTTATTCAGCTCAGCTGAATTGCATTTGATGCATTAAAACTGTATAACAGCGCGAGAAATTTGTATATTGACATCACCTAGCTTATTGAAAAAAACTAACGGCATAGATTTAGCTCAACTGAATTCAATTTTATGCACTAAAATTACATAACTACGCAAACAAATTTTTAGTACCGTTATCTAGGCATTTTAAGCCCCGCTGAATTGCGTTTGCCCAGTTACTTGAATTTATCTTCACATAATTTGTGTTGAATTACAATAGTTGTTTTTTCGCGCTACCAAAGCAAACATTTTTATCAGCAAAGATAA